CCTGTCTAAAACACCTGATTGGTCTAATAAAGAGCAGAATGACCAGTAGCTAGTTAGCAGAGGGATTGGTGGGGCTGCCAGGCAGAGAGAATAAATAGGAGAAATCTAAGCTCAAGTGAAGAGAAAGGAGCGAGAAAAGGAGGAGAGGAGGATGACAGGAGCCCCCAGTCACCCAGCCAGCCACAGAGTAAGAAGGACAAAAAAGATATACAGGATAGAGAAAGGTAAAAAGCTGAGAGGCAAAGCACAGAAAAAGAGAAACAGGATAATTTAAGTTAGAAAAGCTGTCTAGAAACAAACTAAGCTGAGGTCGGGCATTCATAAGTAAGAATAAGTCTCCATATATTTATTTGAAAGCTGGGTGGTGGGCCCCCAAAGAGTAAAAACAAGACCCAAAACCACTACAACTGGCACAGCTCAAACCTCAGCAATACATTGGTAACACACATGCATAGGAATAGCAGGCACTTTCTGTAGCTGGTAGTATATAACTACTATGCTGTAACTGCTACTATTGACATAAATACTATGATGTAACTGTTACTATTGACATAACTACCATGATATAACTACTACTGATGATATAACTACTATGAAGTAACTACTACTACTACATAACTACTATGATGTAACTACTACTATTGATATGACTACTATGATGTAACTACTACTACTGATGTAACTACTATGATGTAACTGCTACTATTGGTATAACCACTAGGATGTAACTACTACTATTGATATAACTACTATGACTTAACTACTACTATTGATATGACTACTATGATGTAACTACTACTACTACTGTTGTAGTTACTATGATGTAACTGCTACTATTGGTATAACCACTATGATGTAACTACTACTATTGACATAACTACTATGATGTAACTACTACTATTGACATGACTACTATGATGTAACTACTACTATTGATATGACTACTATGAAGTAACTACTACTATTTATGTAACTACTACTATTGACATGACTACTATGATGTAACTACTACTATTGACACAACTACTATGACTTAACTACTACTATTGGCATAACTACTATGATGTAACTTCTACTATTGATATAACCACTATGAAGTGAACTTCAGTAAAATTACAGATGCAGAGATTTTCCAACTATAACTTTTATTCCTATTTGTTCTTAATTCTTTACATAAGTTCAAAATGAAATTTATACTGCTAAAGCTAAAACAACGAAGCCCTCAAAAATACAATAAACAAGACATGGGCGACAATCTCGTGATTGTATTGTACTACAGTGACTCTCATTTGTACTTTTAGCCTTAATTTTTTTTGATAACTTTTCTGCAATTTTGTACTATTCCTGACAAATTATTATCAAAAAAGAATTTCTCATTTGATGTATATACCTTAACATTTTTTTTTAGTGGCAATCAAGTCTAACATTCTAGGATTTGGGAGAATTGTTGCTGTCCATGAATCTATTTTATTCTGAAGAGAGACTGTATTTTCCTGAAAGATAGTTAAGTATTTCTTGGTCTGAGTAGAGAGCTGGCTATGTTGAACTTGTTGACTGCCTATTGTTGAGGCACCGGTGGTCATGAACCCTGTCAGGGCCATTTCTACCAGGACTAGTACAGGAGTTCTCTTATTTCTTGAACCTAAGGGGTGTAAGTATTGTTGGACCTCACTTCCTGGGAGCACATCTAAGTCAGGGCCAAAAGTATCAGTCTGAAACTGTCTTCCAGCAACAGGTGTAAGCACCCTTGGGATTTCCTTTAGTTGACACGTTGGAATGAGCTCCTCCCTGGAACACAGTGGTCCAGAGTCTGGCAGAGCTGCTGCTAGACGAAGTTGGTGAGCATTGCATCAGGGCAGATGCCACTGCAGGGGCAGGTTGAGGAGGCCTTGCCTCGGAGCTAGTAAGTAGGCAGTAACATGGGCAAAATTTTATTCTCTGGGGAAGCTAATGGGGTTGCTTTCTTCGTTCTTCAGGCTTCAACGTTTTTGTAAGACTGTGGGGTCTCACAGAGAGACTGTGCAAACCCCATGATGAGAAGAGTTCTCTAACCAGGGGCTGGGGGAGTTTATATGTGTCTAGCCCTAGCTGTGAGACAATTTAAGGTCTTACCTAGGGGCATCATGAATATCCCTGTCTGTTGTGATGGGGCAGCAGGGCTGCATCCCCGGCACCTGGCCACCCACATGGCTAGCTTATGCCCCAAAATAATTACATGGAAACTGTATTCTTTTAAACACTGTTTGGCCCATTATATCTAACCTCTTCTCGCCTAACTCTCGCACCTGGACTAGCCCATTTCTAATAATCTGTGTAGCCCACGAGGTGGCTTACCAGAGAAGATCTTAACCTGTGTCTGTCTGGAGTGGGAGAATCATGGCGACTCCCTGACTCAGCTTCTTTCTCCCAGCCTTCTGTTCTGTTTACTCCACCCACCTAAGGGTTGGCCTATCAAGGGGCCTAGGCAGTTTCTTTATTAATAAGAAATCACTCCCACATCATTTCCCCTTTTTCTGTTTAAACAAAAAAGAAAGGCTTTAACTTTAACATAGTAAAATTCATATAAC